CTATCAACAGCCAGCAAGAGTTCTAAAGATGCTTTCCCATTTCTCTGGCGTTCCACATCTAAACTGCCCAGTAATTCTAATACTCTGTTGAACGCTTAAAAAAAACCCAAGACATCTCAATAATTCTCTCTCCTGTGGGACATAAAAATCAAATCTGGCATGAAAAGCCAAACTTTAACAGCTTGGAAGTTATCTGGGTGGGGGCTAGTATCTGCTAAATTTTCTATCCAGCCTTTTTAACGTTTAAAAAAAGGTTAACAGAACAGCATAGCTAATCGGGGGGAAACAGAAAACCACTATGATAACCTCTTAATTGTTAATAAAACACAGAAGCGATACAGTAAACAAACCATGCATAAAACCAGAGAATGTAAAAAAACAGTTTCTTGTTACCACATTCTACACCAGCAGTCAATTTTGACTGGTGCCAATATTTGTATTAACGACTGCCTACTGCAATTTACAATTGAGAAATATTACAGTACCATATGTTAATGTAATCAAGTACCACCATTTCATGAGTTCAGTTGAAGCATTGCATCACAAGAAAATTGTTACATACACACGCACAGGTTCGATTACCAAGCAAATATGCGAAGTTGAGGTTTTCATATTCCAATTCATTATTTCTTAACACAAGAAAGAATTCTTTATTTGTGGTTTAAGTGTAAACCATTAACCCGAGGGAGATTTTAAACCCACATGGGTGATTGAGTCAGCATTTCGTAAACTGACATCCATCACTGGGGAAAGGTACCTACGTTTTTTCCTGTGTTCCACCAGACCGCTGGCCTGCTTCGCTGAACATTTTGCAAACCAGTTGTCCCCAAGAAGAACTGTGATCTCATTGGTATGGACCAGTTTTCCTGGCATGAAAGCAAGGGGACCAAAAGGTACCTGTCAATGTAACAAAGGAAAGGTATGAAATTAAGGGCAATCCAGCACAACAAAATCCCAGCTTCATCTATAACCCCTATCTAAAAGTGGCCAGTATTGGCCCCAGTCACACGGGAGGATTTGCCCCGCAAAACAGACGAGTTGAGGGCGGATTAAACCGGCACGATCAGATGCCAACATCTGGCAAGCGTCACCCCCCGCCCCCAAACCATTGCTACCAGCTGAAAACGCGGATTTAAAAGAGACCTGCAAAAGACTACTACTTACTGGTAAACACACAGCATGGGCGGCCGTGTGATCGCCGAAGCACCCGTATTCCGTGGTATGCGAGGCCCTGCCACACTGCGCATGCGCACAACTGCGCAGCTGCCTCGCCCTTCATCCCACCGCTTCCCCCTCGGCATGTGATCATGCCGGGGAGGAAATGCGGCGCGGCTCGGGGGATCTGTCTGATCCCGATGCCGCGCTTCAATTTGCTGCGGCTCTAAAAAGCCACACTTCTGCCGTGGCTTTTCCCGCTAGTGTGACCAGGGCCACGGAATGTTGTAGAACAGAACAATCCTATGGCTACTTGGATGGCCCAGGCTGGCCTGATCTCATCAGATCTCAGGACCTAAGCAGGGTCAACCCTGGTTAGGAATTAGATGGAAGACCACTGAGGAAGTCCAGGTTTGCCATGCAGAGGCAGTTGATAGCAAACCACCTTTGAACATCTCTTGCCTTGAAACTTCGACATGGCCACTATAAATCGACAGTGACTTGATGGCACTTTCCACCACCACCATGGCTACTTCTGGGTAGACCTCCATAGGACTGTGCTGCAAGATCCCAACCAAACAAATTTTTTTTTAGAGCCTGTGATCTTACATACTCAAGTTAACAGATCCCAGAATGAGCTAACTTTGAAGCTCGGATCACAGAAAACGTCTCTGTGCCGTCACCCCAAGTTACTCTAATAGAATCTAAGTATCAGAATTCCAGGTTTAAAAAGTAGCTTGCCTCTGGTACCCAGTTCAGTATCATCATGGAACCGGAAAGCAAATGAAAGGAAACAGACGTCTGTTTTTGCCAAGCCACGACATTCGTGCATGAGACCGTATCCCACTTTTTAAACTCCTTTGACCCACAAAACAACTCACAACATTCATAAAATGGTCCATTAAACAATAACAAAAAATCCCAAATTCCTACACCTTTCAATTATTTATGTATTTCATTTATTTAATTTACATTATGTATAGTCTGCCATTCTCACTGGCAGACTCAAATCAGATTACACAGAGTATTTATACCCCAAACTTTCTCCCCAATGGGGACTCAAGGTGGCTTATGTAGCCCTCCTCTCCTCCATTTTAGCCTCACAGCAGCCTTATGAGGTAGGTTAGGCTGAGTGTGTGGGACCGGCCCAAGGTCACCCAGCAAGACTTTATTGCAAAGTAGGGATCTGAATCTGGTTCTCCCAGATCCTTGTCTGACACGTTAACCCCTACAGCATGTTGGCTTTAATTTTTTAAAAAATTAAAATACGTGGGACTCATGAGAAGATACATGTGTGAAGAGAGAAGGAAACAGACTGGAAAAAAATGGGTTTTAAAAATACTGAACACACACACACACACAAACTCAGCAACAAACTAAGGGACAACTCTGGGCTGATCCTGAAACAGGCAAATGATGGTGTCAGCACCTGTCTCCCGACACCCCCTGCCTCTCTGACACTGGGTGGTTGGCCTTTCATAGCTGCTGTGGCAGGGAAAGGGTTAGTGCCTCGATTTATTTATTTAGCTTAGTTATAGCCAAGGCTCCCTCTAAGCTGTGGAGTCTTGTGAGCGACCATTCTACTTTGTGAGCTGCTGGCATTAAAGTTGTCAGCGAGCGATTTGGCTGCTGCACAAATTAGTTTGCTCTGGAGCCATCCTTCCTGAGTTAAGACAAAAATGTGTGAACCGGGGGCTAAAAAACTAGCTAGCTCACACTAACTCAGCTCAGAGGGAACACTGGTTATAGCCCATCTCTCTCACTGAGACGCAAGGCAGATTACAAAACAAGATGGAGGGGACATCACCATACAGTATAAGACATTGAATGGGTAAAACTATAGGACTAGGAGTAAAAAGGTAAAGGTAAAGGTTCCCTTGCTCGAAAGCCAGTCAAATCCGACTCTAGGGTTGCGGTACTCATCTCCGTTTCAAAGCCCAAGAGCCAGCGCTGTCCGAAGACGTTTCCGTGGTCATGTGGCCAGCATGACTAAACACCAAGGCGCACAGAACGCTGTTACCTTCCCACCGAAGTGGTACCTATTTATCTACTTGCAATTTCTTGCTTTCGAACTGCTAGGCTGGCAGGAGCTGGAACTAGAGACGGGAGCTCACTCCGTCATGCGGCACACTCAGGTCTCGAACTGCTGAACTACTGACCTTCCACAGCCTGCAGCTCAGCGTCTTAACCACTTGAGCCACCGCAGCTCCAGGACTAGGAGTACAAAACTGAATAATGCAAGCATGTACATACAGTATTGGGGTCCCCAGCCTTTTCAAGGCAGTGAACACCTTTGGACTTCTAACACAGGGTTGCCGGCCCAACCACAAAAATCACTGCTGAGGGAGGCGGAGCCAACCACAAAATGTCAGGGAGTGAGATTACGCATAATTCTAAGTAAATCTTCAACATTTCAGGCAGAAGCTCTGTTTAATAGGATGCCTTTTTAAAAGAACATATAAAAAACCATTTTCTTGCGCGCGCACACACACACACAGAGTAAAGATTCTTATGCTGTGATGGCTGCTGTTGCTGACTTTTAAAAACTCTGTACAGCCAATCAGATCTCCAATGGCCCTGCAGGGAAAAAGCTCCACCTGGCCTGGCCCCACCCACTTCTAAAAATACTCGGTGGGTGCCAGAAAAGGTGTCGGTGGTTGCCAATGGCGCCCACAAGGACCATGCTGGGGACCCCTGATACAGTATAAGACATACAATCAAGAATGCAATTGAACAATGCGGTAGGACTAGGAATACAAAAACTGAATGACAATGTGTGAACAGCCAACTGCCCAGGCTGGCATAGCATCAGCAATGCAGAATGCAGGTTTACAAAGGTATAGGGCAGTGATGGCGAACCTTTTAGAGACCGAGTGCCCAAACTGCGACCCAAAACCCACTTATTGATCGCAAAGTGCCAACATGGCATTTTAACCTGAATACTGAGGTTTTACTTTAGAAAAAACAACTCATACATTAACTTAAGGTAAAGGTAAAGGTCTCCCTTGCTCGAAAGCCAGTCGAATCTGACTCTAGGGTTGCGGTGCTCATCTCCGTTTCAAAGCCGAAGAGCCAGTGCTGTCCAAAGACGTTTCCGTGGTCATGTGGCCAGCAAGACTAAACACCAAGGCGCACAGAATGCTGTTACCTTCCCACCGAAGTGGTACCTATTTATCTACTTGCAATTTCTTGCTTTCGAACTGCTAGGTCGGCAGGAGCTGGAACTAGAGACGGGAGCTCACTCCGTCATGCGGCACACTCGGGTCTCGAACCGCTGAACTACCGACCTCCCACAGCCTGCAGTTCAGGGTCTTAACCACTTGAGCCACCGCAGCACCAGTGGATCCAAACAAAGTAAGGAAAGCAATCCCAAATGCTTTCATTTACTTAAAATTATTTGGCAGAGAATTTGACACTTTAATGATGGTCTGGGCCTGGCTGGGGCGATGGCACGCCTTACCACAGAGAGGGCTCTGAGTGCCACCTCTGGCACCCGTGCCATAGGTTCGCCACCACTGGCATAGGGGATGCACTACCCACCACCGTATGAAGGTGCTCTTCTTAATTGTCCTCTCCTGTTATCTATTCCAGTACAAGAATGCCTGCCTGAATATTTTTATTTGACACATTGTGCCGAATGTTAGTACTGTGAAAGCTGTCCTACCCTCCTCAGCTAGGCCCTTCCCGAAACGGAAGCTACAACAGAGAATGTACATGAGTGGGCAGTTGCCAGTCTGCATGGAAGAATCTTTAAAAGGTTCTATTCAGTCAACTGAATTTGCCGTGGTGGAGAATAGTAGCAGAGGTGGTCCCCCACAGGTATTTGGGATGCAGGCCACAAAGGGCCTTGCAGGTGATGACCAGCACCTTGAACTGAGCCCATTAACTGATGAGTAGCCAATGGACTGACTACAGGATGGGAGTCAAGCATATTCTGCCTGGTACCCACTAGTAATCGGGCTGCCTCCTTTTGTACCACCTGGAGCTTCCAAGGTGATTTCAAGGGAAGACCCATGCAAAGTGCATTACAGTACTCTCGCCTCAAGATAACCATGACACAGATCCAAGATAGGGTGCCAACTGCCAGGATAGGTAAAGTTGGTAGGATGCTTTTTTTGTGGCTGCACTGGCTTGCTTCCCTAGTAGTCATGCTGGTTCCAGTGGGACCCCAAGGCTCTTAACAGAATCAGAGAGGCCTGAAGGGCTTTACGTAGAGATTGACTAACGTGGAGGATAAGACTGAACCTTGTGGAACCCCCGCCAGGCAAGTCCCACACTGGTGATAGTTGGTCTCCAAAAGCAATGATCCGAGTCTTGCTTTCAACAACCAACAAGGGTATGAATCCACTTTACAGCCTAAGATCCTGTCAACAGCCATTGTAGACAGCGGATCAAAATGATCCAGGTGTTTTTTCCTCCAAGTGTCGTCACTGTATGCCACCGGCATCCAAGTCAGAAACACATTTGGTAGATTTTGTCAGCAAATAACTTTACAAAGGCATCACAACTAATCACTAGTTCCTCTAAATCCAGAGATTCGGACTTCAGGGCCAGCAAGCACTGAGCTACTTTGAACAGTTGAGCTAGGCGAGAATTAGCTGACGCTATGATAGCAGCAAAGTAGTATTTCTTTGGCTTTTTGCTTTTCCTGCTGCTTCATAGGTCTTCCAATAAGCTCTGTAGGCTATTCTGTGCAATTCAGTTCTAGTTTTCCACCAACACTGTTCTAGGCATCTTCCAGCCCCCTTCCAATCACTTATCCAAGGTGCTGAAATTCTGCCAAGAGGTTGGGAGTGGACAATGAGGAGCAATTGTGTCAATAGCTTCCAGGAGCTTCTGGTTCCATGCTTTCACTGCAGCCTCAGCAGAGCTGTTTGTTGGGATCTGAAAATCCCCTAATGCAGGGGTGTCAAACATGTGGCTTGGGGGCCGGATAAGGCCCCCGGAGGGCTTCTATCAGGCCCGCAGTGGAACTGGCTGTCTTCTGCTTCTTCTTCCAGTTCTGCTGCTGCTGCGTCATTGTAGGTTTGCAGCTTACAGATACACACACTCAAGACAGCATACTCAAGATTGCAGCAGCACAGACATTTTGATGCAATAATTCAGAGCAAGAGGTGTCAGTTATCAGACACTGTTAAATAAACAAAATATTGCAAGAGTGCTAATGTTTTAAGCATGTTTTTAAGTTAAAAAACCCGTTTGTGTCCTTTATAAAGTTTATATCTCTGCTACCTGGCATTACATTTTATGACACACATGGTCCGGCCCAACAAGGTCTCATTTATGTCAGATGCGGCCCTCATAACGAATGACACCCCTGCCCTAAAGCATTCTGGAAGCCAATTGGGTCCATTTGTCACCATAGACGGATTAATTTCACTAGCCCCCTCCCTCTCGCAGAGCACCAGTGCTACACCTGTGTCTTGAGTAGGCAATGGTCAGACCCCACTACAGGCCAAACCTCTAACCCCTGACCCGATCTTCCCCTTATGAACCCCGTAGGACTCTATGATTGGCAAACCAGCATCTCCCAGTGGCTCCTGGCCCCAGGGACGTCTGTCTAGCCTCGACTAGGGCCATGGCCTTCTCATCCCTGAGCCCTACCTAGTGGAATAAGCTCCCATATGAGATCACGGCCCTACAGGACCATTTAAAGTTCTGCGGGACCTGCAAGATGGAGCTCTTCCACCAGGCTTTTAGCTGAGGTGGCAGACATCCATATTTTATTGGGCCTCCCCCTCCAGTGAGTCAGATCTGAATTACTTGGAACCCCAACTACCTCATCTGTTGAGGCTCTGGTCAGAGGCTCTGTATATTTTATTTGATGTATTTTAATCAGTTTTAACTGTTTTTTCTATACAATGTATGATGGGACCCGCCCTGAGCCTGCTATGCAGAGTGGGCGGGATACAAATCTTAATAAAATAAATAAAGATCATGTGCAAAAGATTAAATCTACAGTATTACCTTTGTTATGTGTAGGGCCCTTCACAACTTCAGACATCCCCATGTTGGCCAGAGAGGCTACTAGGCACAGTCCCATCAACATGTTAGTTGATGTCACCTTCCAGTATACCTCCTATGGACCTTTTGGTTCCTATATAAGCAGGGCATGTAATCTTTGTGGGTGCACTGAAATAAAAGTTTAGGGGCCTACATACAGTTAGCCTGCAAACACACTGAGATCCCAACAGGAGTGGCACCTCAAGGGAGGGTCTGACAATATTTTGGAAGAGGGTTTTTTATACCCCGCTTTTCTATACCCTAAGGCAGTGGTGGCGAACCTAGGGCACGGGTGCCAGAGGTGGCACTCAGAGCCCTCTCTGTGGGCACGGGTGCCATCGCCCCAGCCAGGCCCAGACCATCATTAAAGTGTCGAATCCTCTGCCAAATAATTTTAAGTAAATGAAAGCATTTGGGATTGCTTTCCTTACTTTGTTTGGATCCTCTTAAGTTAATGTATGAGTTGTTTTTTCTAAAGTAAAACCTCAGTATTCAGGTTAAATTGCCGTGTTGACACTTTGCGATAAATGAGTGGGTTTTGGGTCGCAGTTTGGGCACTCGGTCTCTAAAAGGTTCGCCATCACTGCCCTAAGGAATCTGGCTTACAATCACCTTCCCTTCCTCTCCTCAAAACAGTCACCTTGTGAGGTAGGTGGGGCTGAGAGCGTTCTGAGAGAACTGTGACTGGCCCAAGGTCACCCAAGAGGCTTCAAGTGGAGGAGTAAGGAATCAAACCTGGTTCTCCAGATTAGAGTCCACGGCTCTCAGCCACTACACCACACTAGCTGTGATCCTGAGGATTTGCCACTGGAGCCCCAGGTAGGTAACATGGCTGCAAAAAATCAGACCCAAGGGGCCAATGTGGATTGAGGCTGCAGACCCAAGGGAATGGAACAGGGGTTTAAGATCTTTCCCTCCATATCCTTTTCTCCAAGAAGATCCTCTCATCCAGCTGCTTTGAATTTCTGAAGGGACACAGGGGAAAACAAGGCACAACCTCGGTACCTTTTCTTTTTTTCTACCACACAACCTGGACATAACTGAACATTTCATCGTATGAAAGGGACATTTCATCTTATGAAAACACTTTAGGTCGGGGACGTAGACCCCGCTGTCGTTCCTTAGTGTCACAGCGCCAATGTAATTTCCCTGATCCCCGTGGCTACGTTTTTTGCACTTCATTTATGTGCCTGGAGATCACATGTGGTTTGGCCCTGAGGTCTCCTAAGTGGCAGAGGGGCAGGGAGAGATCTCTATGACAAGAGCGAAGCATCTTAGAACAGAAATTAGCTTTCAGTGTAAGTCGGTATTTGAGTCTTAAAATTCCATGGATCAGGGAATATGATTGCCTGCTTCTCCACCTCACAGGAAATTATTGTGTATTGCAGATTTAATTACAGCCTTCCATATAATAAACAGGCCTTATCAAATGTGTCTGACTTTGTCTTAGTCTGTCTGTCAAGAATTCTGAGGTTATAATTTATTATGGATTTGAAGAAAAGTAGATGGAGGAGAAGGAAAACATACATTTAACACGGTCTGTAATCAATCGCTGCGAACTACAATATGGCGATACCTGAAGTAAAACATTGTTGCTGTGAATAAATCCAATGCAGGTATAACATTCCAAATCTCCTTATCACGATTGGGACCTCAAGGAAACACTCAAAAGTTTGTATGCTCCTTCCCGCTTCCTTTTTTACAAGACTCTCCCCCTTCTTCACTGCCTTTCTGAGGTTACGCATAACGCAGTGCCATCGTTGTGCTGATGATAATACCAACCAGAGCTGCAACCGGGGTTAGAAGGATATTTGCATTCTCTGGTTTGAACTAGCCATGGTTAGCGTCAGCATCAATGTACCTATGTTGCTGTACCCTTCAAAAAGGGCAGGGAGGAAAGAAAGGAGCAGACAAGATAAAAAGAGGGCAGAAGTAGTAGTACATGAACTTTCTAGGCACTTCCAGGTTTTTAACCACAGTTAGGGTGTCATGAGCATTACATCTGCTGTCTGACTCCACCGAACACCACAATACCTACCATGATATCGTATGAGAGTTTATCTGGCAATGTATTCAGTCGTTCTTGAAGAGCTTCGTAGTCGCTCTCCACCTTCTTCCTGTTGGAAAATTGAACTCAGGTTACTGTCAATCCTAAATAACAATGGACTGCAAGCAGTGTTCCCTCTAAGCTGAGTTAGTGTGAGCCAGCTCACAGTTTCTTAGCCTCCAGCTCACACATTTTTGTCTTAGCTCAGGAAGGACGGCTTCAGAGCAAACTCATGTATGCAGCAGCTAAATTTCTCACTCACAACTTTAATGCCAGTAGCTCACAAAGTAGAATTTTTGCTCACGAGACTCCACAGCTTAGAGGGAGCATTGACTGCAAGACCAATGTGGATGATTACATTTTTAAACTGGAATCTGGATGTAGAAGTTTGGGGGGGAGGGACACCGTGGTTGCAAAAAAAAGCAACCTATCTGAGTAAAGCTTTTAAGATATTCCCAAATCCTGGGATAAAAACAGTCTGTGTGCATAATCAGTGTTCCCTCTAAGCTGAGTTAGTGTGAGCTAGCTCACAGTTTTTTAGCCTCTGGCTCACACACTTTTATCTCAGCTCAGGAAGGACGGCTCCAGAGCAAACTAATTTATGCAGCAGCCACATCGCTCGCTCACAGCTTTAATGCCAGTAGCTCATAAAGTAGAACTTTTGCTCGCAAGACACCACAACTTAGAGGGAGCATTGTGCACAATGTAAACAAAGTCTTTTAACATGTTGAATGTCTTTCCCAAACTATTTTACAGAAGTCTGTATGCCTTCTGGGTTAGCACTACGTCAAATAGGTGCAGAGTTGGGTTTTCAAGGCGGACGTTGCCTTCTCAGGGAGGGTTAAAAACATGTGCAAAAATAACCCCTCGACTTTCTATTCTTTTGTGCATTCTTAACTGTTTGCGACCATTGCCTAGGCAAGCATGGAGGTGCTCTCTGCCTTGCCATGGTGATCCCTGGCCCAGCTCTAGTTCAGTATGACCAGCTGGAACAGAATGTGGATCAAGCTGTGCATTCACATATGGGTCCCCCTATGAAACAGTGCAGTGTGGATGGCCTGCATCTACAAGTGCCACCACACTTCATCTGTGCACAGTTATGACATTCAATGTTTTCCATAAGTTTGCCCACGCTAGTCAAACTAATCATGGTTGTGTTCGGGTGAGGGAACTCCATGCTTTTGCCTTGATAACAGGATAACAGTGATTCCCCACTCCTCCACTTGCACCTGCTGGATGACCTTGGGCAAGCCATAGTTCTGGCACAGCTGTTCTTGAAAAAGAGCAGTTTCTGTCAGAGCTCTCTCAGCCCCACCTACCTCACAGGGTGTCCGTCGTGGGGAGGGGAAGGGAAAGGAGTTTGTAAGCCACTCTGAGACTCCTCTTCCTCTTCTTCTTCTTCTATCCCAAAGAAGAGCAAAACAAATTACAAAAAGGAGGAGGAGATTGGATTTATACCCCACCCTTCACTACCCAAAGGAGTCTCAGAGTGGCTTACAATCTCTTTTCCCTTCCCCACCCCACAAGAGACATCCAGTGAGGTAGGTGGGGTTGAGAGAGCTCTCTGGAGAACTGCCCTTGAGAGAACAGCTCTGAAACAACTTGTAACTGACCCAAGGTCACACCAGCAGCTGCATGCGGAGGAGTGGGGAACCAAACCCGGTTCTCCCAGATTAGAGTCCGCACTCCTAACCACTACATGAAACGGGGTGTGTGTGTGTGAAAAGAATTGCAGGCGGGAGAAGGTGAGAAATATTTGCAAAACCTTTCCGACTGATCAGCTTAACACTACCCTGGCTATCATATTAGACCACTGCTTAAAGAAAAACAGTGTTCTATTGCAATCTGTAGAGCTTTTATACCAAATGCCACATTACATTATATCAGTGTGGACAGTCCAAGACGGTAGTAACCAGAAACATATTATGGAAATGCTGATAAATTTCGACTCCAAGAGCACTAGTGGACACCACTATAATATCCATCATATTGGAAATTAATGCAGCTCCTGAATTTTAAACACTGGCAAAACGTATTAGTTTTAGACTATTTTCTACAAACCAATAGTCACAATTTAATATGATGAGGCGTATAGATGGCCTTGATTCCCCCCTCCTCCTCCTCATTCTTCTTATCCACTGCTTGGAGCTTATGTGCATTTAAACTTAAAAAAATAATATTTGATACACACGAACTATAAATTATTTGCTCAGAGGTCTTTCAGGCATGAAGAAAAAAGCCTCTTAAAATAAATTTAAAATATTATATGCTTGATGGTGTATAACCAAAAGTTTAATCTCTTCACTAAAGGGGGCCAGTTTGCTGCGATTCTGCAATAACCCTGCAGACAATAATCAAGAGTGCTCCTGTTGTTCTCTCCGTAAAACCCTAGTAAACGCAGCATGGATGAAGAATAATTTGGTATCTGTTAAGATCAAGTGTTCTCTCGCAGTAACTCATAAGAAACTGTTCACTGTTAAATATATTTTTTCCCTTTGGATACTGTATGAAACTTTTATTTAACTAAGACGCTTCCTATTAACTAAAAAGCATTAAACAAGCCATGCAGAATAGACGGAGATGATAATTTAAGGGCTAATAGCCTCTTGGTATACAAAGGTTCACCTTAGGCTTTACACTAGTGTATTTTTTCCAGCAATTGGAGAAAACTGGAGGAAAAACCATTCTTTCGCTCACATTTTTTTAAAGTACAGGCTTGATTCTCTAAACTCCATCCGTACAATGGAGATTTTGTGTTCCAGGGACAGTAGTCCACATAAATAGCTGACCTGTGGGGACCTAAAGACATTTTGGAGACTTTTAGTACAATCCTGAGCAGAGTTACTCCCTTGTAAACCCACAAACTTCAGTGGACTTAGAAGAGTGTAGCTCTGCTACGGAGTGCACTGTTTCTATGTGTTTGGGGTGAGAGAAGAAACTGGATTAACTGTGTGCATATTTTTTTAAGGGACACACATCTTAAAACTACACTTATCATGATGAATTGGGGCAGCTGGATAAGAATGTAGGAGGGTGCAATTTAATTAAACCAGTAAAATGTTACTCTAAAAACCATAGTATTAGAATTTGCCCAGTTTTTCTAAAGGAGATCCATAGGGTTGGCTCAAACCAGCTTTTCTGCTGGTGAAAAAGTAAGAAGGGGGATACCCTTTGATGACTCAAAGAGGATATGCTGGGGATCATGGGGCCTACAAGCCACGTGGGGTGGGGGGCAACAGCTAGGAGGAACACCGGATGAGATTGGAGTGGAAACACCTGGCTGGATCCAACCCACTGATTATTTTCACTGGCATTTGAGGCATGCATTCAAACATTTTTCACTTACCAGTGCTGGATGTTTTCTCGGCAGCTAGTGACCACCTGTCATTAAAACAGATAACTGTTCATGAAAAAAAACAAGGCTATGAACACAGCTGCAAAGTCAACGTTTCACAATCTAGAGCAGCGGCTTTACAGATCTGGTGGCGTCTCTCTATACATTTTTATTTGTCAGTGCAAAGGTGCGGGAGCGCTTGTTCTTAAGCAGCCCACTTTATCACAAGGCTCTAATCCAGACTGATAACTACAGAATAAATTGCTCTTTCCCCCCCAACTCATATTTTGATACAATGTGGGCTCCGTAACGACAAGATGACACACCGATACAAGATAAAAACCAGCATTTCGTACAATCTACACATCTGTTTTCCATGTTACATGCTTTGCAGAACAAAGTAAATATAATTTATTAAGAGGAATGCATGTTTGCTGTTTTTCCCCTTCAAAGAACGACCTATGAAAATATTTTCTCATCATCAATAAACCTCTCTAAAATGGTATTTTGCATGCCGTTTGGCAAAAGGTTAAGAAATCGTGTACAAGGCAATGTGAATTTCTACTTCCGAAATATTCAGGCAAATAATACAACTTCTGCTAGCAACAGACTTCTATGAAAAGCAGGATCATTTAAAAAAAGGCATATTTAAAAAT